AGTAGTTCACACAACTTCTCCAGAAGATGGTCCTGTGAGACTGAGTAGTCAGTTGCACTTTATAGAAAACAGCAGCTTCTCAGTCATGCACCCCCTTGGATTTGTTTGTCTTCCTTTTTTGCTTACTCTTCTTTTGCTAACCCCTGCTTCCCTAGGATTGCCCTTTCTAATAAGGAGCTAAACTATAAAGTGTTTGCCTCATGTTCTCTCTCCTACAGGGTCTGGACTTAGAACACAAGTCCAGTAAGGAAGCTGGGATAGTTAATTTCATCAGGGAAAAAAAAAACACAGTGGCCTCCTCTAGCTGAAGGAAGAGGTGAAAAAAGCATTTTAAAAATCCATTGGGATCACTTTGCCCAAGGATATGACTGTGAGTCCCATCCCAGGATGTTTGTATCTCCAGGAAAGAAAAGAACTCTGGTTGAAGGAACTCAGAGGCTTTCCTCTGCTTTATGGGTATTTTTCATTGGACTCCTCTGCTAGATTTCAGCTCCTATTAGACAGGAAAAAAAAAAAATCCTCAGCTAGGTCACCTTAGGGAAAATTACTTCACTTCTCTGAACCTTGGTTTCCTTGCCTGTAAAACAGATTTCAGTCTCTGCATCAGAGGGTTTTTGTGAAAATGAAGGCTGTTAGCATTGTCCTCTGTCTAGGACCTAGGATCTTACAAAAATTAATGTCTGGAACAAGGTTGGTTTGCTGGGAAAGAAAGAGAAAAAAATGTTGGGAGTCATATACAGGCAATGAGGTGCTCTAATGTAGGAGTGACTTGTATCATTTAAACTCACAAATCTGCCAGAACGATCACATCCACCTCCTTCCTCACCAGAGAAAGCTGGAAGGTACAATCTTACCATGTTTCTGGAAGGCAGGACAATGGAGAAGGCTTACAAACAGCAGGAATAGCTACATCACTGTTCAGTAAACATCACTCATACTTTCTAGTTGACCCATTATTTTAGCACAATCTAGTTGATTTTTTCTCCTTTTACTGGATATTAAAAGAAGACAGGAAACAGAGTATGGGAACAGAGGATTCTGTCTCTCACCCATGTAGTATTCATTCTCCCAGGGGATCTTCCTGACCCAGGAATCGAACCCAGGTCTCCCCAATTCCAGGCAGATTCTTTACCTTCTAGCCACCAGGGAAGCCCAATGTAGTACTGCAGCACAGTATTAATGGTCATGCCAACCCACCCATTAACACGCTTATTTCGCTTGAAGGTGAAATGCTTCCTTGTGAATACAAATTCAAAGAAAACTCTGCTCAAAGAGGCTAAAGAGATTGCTAGTGACCATAATTACATCTCTTTAGTAAGTCCTGAGGGAATATGGCTTCTAAGTAGGATATGAAAATATGCACATTAATGGCTTCTATGCTAGCTAAAACAAAAAGGTCTTGTTTCCAATTAAAAAAAAAAAAGTTTTTAGCTTAAAAGAATAATCTGATCCTAAAACACAGAAGTCTTACTGCTTAAAAGCAGGTGACATTTCAAAAAGCTGCTTCCTCTTTTGATCTCGTTCACTTAAACAGAATTTCTTATCAATGAAACCAGTTGAGCACAAGGAACTTTGACAATTGCAACAAAGTAGATTTAAAAAAATTGTCTTTAGTATGCTTTTTTTCATAGATAATTAAGTCCATTTGATTTTTGTATGTCTGGCATATTAAATAGTATCAATATGTAATAAAATATTTTCATTTATTTTTAATGACAAAAGCGTACATTTTTTTTTCTTTTTTTTCCACTGTGCAACCTGCTTCAGTGCCAGCAGCGTGCTGGCAGAGGCCGGGCAATGGTTTGGGGCCAGGTTTGCTCTGGCATGGGACACTATAAGAGGCCCAGGGGAATGAGCCAAAAGTGTAAAATTATAGCAGCCCTTCCAGATATCATCTGGTACAACACACCTATTTTAAAGATGAGCAAGTAAGACCCAGAGAAATGAAGTCACAAACTGGACCTCAGAGTCTAAGGCAAAACTGAGGAATAAGATCTCTTACTTCTTGACTGCTGTTGTGGAGGTCTTACCATCATTACACCTCACAGATGACTTCCTAAATTGCTTTTGTTGGTGGTGATGATGGTGGTATGGATGCCAGAGGGAATTTAAGAATAGGGCCTTGATATCCATATTTTCTAAGAATAAAATATGTTTTTGAACAAGAAAGTAATATTACATGGCAATAAAGATTTAGGGATCAAAGACCAGAGAAGAAAACTGAATTTACCAAAGACAGTCACAAAGCTTAGATGAATTACTGTCTTTTAAATCTACATTCATCTTGATACTGATTTTCATATTTTATAGTTGATTATTTAAGAGACTGTTATAGAAAATGCTTCCAAGGTACAGACTAAATGGAGGTGAAGAAACTTAAGGCTACTCTTTTTAATTTTATAGAGGATGCTTCGAGGAAATTAATGTTTTTCACCATATTAAAACTATGATAAAAAGAGGTGGATTTTTTTTTTTTTAATCTCAATAGGAAAGCAATAAATCAGAACTTTTAGGAGCACATTACTTTTTTAGAAGGGCTCCAGAAATGAAATTGCATTTCCTCCTATATCCTCTATCCATTTATGGTCTGGCTGATTCAGGTGCTTCTGAGAAACTGGGGTTGAAAAAAACTACCCAAGCACCTGGGAAGTTATGTCACCTTGTAGTTGAAAGAAACCATTTTAGTGTGTCTGCAGACTGTTCTGGCCTTTGGAACATTCATTTAGCGAGGCCAGGTAAATGTGAGAGGGAGTGAGTACCACACAGCTTCTTACCTAATGTGTTGTAACACTATTCTTATCCCTTACAACTGTCTAAAAGAATTCTTTTTTTAGACTTTCTATGCTAGTTACCCCAAAATAAATATTCTGTGGTAGTGAGTTCCTAAAACTAATTACATGTCACATAAAAATACCATGTGTATTTCAAGTTGGCTATACCTCACTCCTTCTTCTTGCATGGATAGTTTACAGATGTTGCTAGGATTTCCGATTGACTAGTTCCTGCTCTTGTGGGTTGCGAAGTTTTATTTTGATTTTTGTTTTCTTTTCTAAACATGGCTGCTAGTACTGTTCATATGTGCATTTTTTTTTTAACCTATCAGTATCAGAAATGCACTCTGGGGCTATGTCCTGCCCTCCTCTCTTGCCCTGTGAAACCTTCCTTTCCTATGACTTTCAAAACCCATTCTCTGCTGATGACCTAGATTTTCTGATCTCCAGTCCAGGCTTCTCTGAACTTTTTGAATCCAAATGCCTATTTGACATCTCCATTGGGATATTTTACAAATGTATCACATTTATCAAACCAAAAAATGAACACTGATGGGAAGATCAGAAAAGGGATTCAGCTAAGGTTAGGTAGAACCTGCAAGGGTTGGTATATAAGTCTGGTTCATTGTTGTTGCTCTCTTAAGAATGGACCTCCATGAAGGTATTGTACCTTCACAGTAGAAATGGACAAAAATAAGTAGGAAAAATACTGATCAGGTGGGCAGGGTGTTATATTTATATTTTGAAGGAGATCAAAGCTGACATGAGAATGTGAAATCTTTGACAGTAAGCTACATTCTGTTGGGATATCCATGGAAACTGCTGGTACATTATACAAACACCCCAACAAATCTCATCATAGCTCCTTTGACTCAGCAAACACACATTTAGTGTCAAGCACTGTGGAGACCTGGAAGCTAGAAATCTGAAGTGGAAAAAAAATCTCTGTTTGCAAAGAGTTCATATTTGGTTTACCATAGGGGTCGTGCCGTCCCCTAGAGGTTCTGGAAATTTGTGAGGGATTTTCTCTTGTCACAGTTTCTGTGTGTTGCTAGATGCCCCAGTGACCAAGAATAATGCCACGTTCCACACACTTTCTTCTTCTCGGCCATGCCATGTGGCATATGGGATCTTAGTTCCCCGATCAGGGATTGAATTTCCAACCCCTGTGTTGGAAGCATACCCCTGTGTTGGAAGCACAGTCTTCACCACCATCCACCAGGGAAATCCCACACACTTTCAAATGTCCTACTGATGACGGTATAAGTGATCTAAGCTAAAAAAAATATTTATCATTATATGAGCCTGGATTCAAACTCCATGTATATATATACACAAACACATGTATATATACACATGTGTTTATATATAGCTATACATATATATGTCTATAGATATATAGACACATATATAGACACACATGTGGGATTCCCAGGTGGCACAGTGGTAAAGAGTCCACCTGTCAATGCAGGAGAAGCAGAGGGGTGGATTTGATCCCTGGGTCGAAAAGATCCTTTGAAGTATGGAATGGCAACCCACTCCAGTACTCTTGCCTGGAAAATTCCAGGGACAGAGGAGCCTGGTGGGCTAAAGTCCATGGGGTCGCAAACAACTGAGCGACTGAGCACGCACACGCACACACACACACACACACACACACACACATATGTAGACCTATGTGTATGTGTTGTAAGATTTTTGTACATATTGAGTTTTCAAGGAATTAACAACATAAAATCTGATAGAGGGTTGTGCATGCATGCATGCTAAGTCGCTTCAGTCATGTATGACTCTTTGCCACCCTATGGACTGTACTTTGCCAGGCTCCTCTATCCATGGAGATTCTCCAGGTAAGAATACTAGAGTGGGTTTCCATGCCCTCCTCCAGGGGCTCTTCCCAACCCAGGGATCGAACCTGCATCTCTTAGTATCCTGCATTGGCAGGCAGGTTCTTTACCACTAGTGCTATCTGGGAAGCCTGAAAGAGGGTTGTATTTTGTTTAAAACTTTAGAGAGATTTGTTCACCGTTTCAAAAAATCACAGCCCAAAACCAACACCAATCATGGTTTTGAACCCCATGTGCTCTCGTCTGTTTTTCATGGTCTGTTCATGACAGTTCTCCATAAAGATGCTAATGTAGCATTACTTCATTAAATCTTCTAGTGAAGCTTATTTCATTATAAATCACTTTCTTTTTATTTCTCCTTCATAGTATAGTTATGCCAGTATATTGATTTGAAAAAATTCTGTATGTAGGTAAAAATATAAGCACTCTCAATTTCATTTCAGGAGAGCCAGGGAGTTGTTACAAAGGATTTATTTAATAAGTGCATGGAAGAAGTCTGATTTGATGGAGAACTACTATTCCACAAGGTAAGATACACAGATACACCGATAATGTTGGCATCTCTGCTCCATAGTAACAACATCAGGGGCAGCCAGGCATCATTAGGCAAGACTTTGAATAATGTAAACGTAATTTTTTTTTTTAATAAAAGTACTCTTTCTCTGCAATATACTTCACCATCCTCTTTTTCCTGGGCTGCAAAGAAATGACTCAGGTTGAATGAAGTACTTCCGGTCAACGAGATGCTGAAGGTAATGCTTCTCACAGAAAGCCTTCATGGAAAGGGAACATGCAGACAAGGGGGCTGAGGTTTGCTTAGAGCAAGACCCAGATGGCAAGTGAGTGGATAGGAGGATAAGAATATTTGAGCGTGTTTAGTGCCCCTTTGAGAGACTCTGCAGTACCTCTCCTTCTAAATTGTGTAGATAAAACATCTGTCCCAGAATGCCTTCTTCCCTGACCAGTGGAATCTGACAACTTGTGGCTTTAACCTAAGAAGTAAAATGAAAGGCCAGATTGAAATTAGGAATTGTGCTGCGGGTTTATGGGTGATAGAGGCCAGAGAGGTTGTTGGAGACAGAATTACAGGACTGCTGCGAAGTATACATCAGATTCTCCTAGAAACTTTAGAGTTACCATTCTCTTAAACAAACCAAAAAGCTAGACAGATACACTCGACCACTGAGGGAGGGGAAGGAAACCAAAATAAACATAAGGAGGACCAATGTATCAGGCAGTTGTCCTGAAAAAAGAAAAATTGACTACCTCCAAATGCTTCACCCCATCCCCCACCCCCAGTCCTAGTATCTTAACATTAATTTAGACCTTAGCTTTGAGAAGGCCAGTGGCTAGTTCTAGAGCTCCTTGATGGGACGTTTCAGCCACCAGTGAAAAATCTAAGACTAGACTAGGATGTTCCCAAAGCATCAGGAGGCTCCTTGAGCAACCATGAAAGAAATGACTTGGTGATGTAACCACCTCACCTTGCAGAGCAGGCCTCTAACTACATGAGTGAGCATCTCAGAAAGCCCATGGCTATGGCATTAGTCCTAATGACCACACCGTCTCAGTGCTTGCCTGCCAGCATCTCCTCTGCTGTCCCAAAAGCATCTAGTATTCTAGTTTGCCTCACAATTTTATCTTCTTCCACTTCTTAAATTCAGGATGCCTTGATTTTATCTCCAAATATGAAACATTTGGAATGTATAATGAGAATAATAAACATCCTATTGTTCCTGCAAGGTAACAGTTGGTGGCCATCTCTCCCCCATCTCTGAGCGTCATCAGCACTTCGTTTACATAATTCACTTGGGCCTAGAATGTCGACTAGAGGCTCGTGTTAATGTGGAATAGGAACTCCATATTATGTGTGGCTATCTTGCATGTGTGCATATTATTCTCTCCATTTTATAGAAAACTAAAACACAAGAGAGATATAAATTGCCCACCATCTTTTATCAAGTAAAATACCGGTATTTGAATTTTGAATTTCGATCCCAAATAACCAAACTCATAACCACTGCACAGCAGCTGCCTTTATAAGGTCTTGGAAGGCAGGATCTTTTATATTCCCAAGTCACCTCGTACTTCCCCTTTTGTTATTCTCATTACACATTCCAGTATCTGCTTTCTCCATTTTGCTGTGTGGTCCATGAGGACAGAAATGGTGGCCATGTTTTCCATTCTATGTCTAGTATCCAGTGGCCTGCAGGGTACAAAGGACTAAATAGCTGTAATGCTTCCAATTCTTAGCACTACCCCTTGGTGTTTATGAAAGGGCATCTGGACTCTTCATGTGTAACTACAAAGTATCTTTTCTCAATTATTTATAAAATAAAATCAATCTCAGAAGCTACAGATGGGAAAGGGAACGCATTCCTACTTAAAGTATTTACTAGGTTCAAGACACAATAAAAGGTTTCTCTTTTGGTAATGCTGTAACATCTGCAGTTAATATTATCTACATATATATCTACATCCTTATACAGACCAGATATCAAAACATGTGTCTACTTATTATTTTGGAACACTTAGAATACTGGAATGGGTAGCCATTCCCTTCTCCAGGGAATCTTCCTGACCCAGGGATCAAAACCAGGTCTCCTGCATTGCAAACAGATTCTTTACCATCTGAGCCATCATGGAAGCCCATTATTAGGTATACATATTATTTAATGGAAATTCTGAAATTTAAAAGTTACTGATAATATGTTTATTATTAATCAAATCTTTGAAGCATTCAAAAGGCTAGGAAGAATAAAAGTGTCCCCATATTAATAGCAGAATTATTTATACTAGCCAAAACCTAGAATGTTTAAGTCACTTGTGGTGTAGCCATGCAATGGAATATTATACAGCACTGAAAATGGATGGGCATTTGTACATCCAATACTGGAGATGATCTCACAGTAGAAATTTAAGTGATAGCAGCCAGACACAAAAAAGTACATAAAGTTCATTTACTCATGGATGGCATTATAAGTCAGAATGTTGATTCCTCTGGCCATGACTGTTGTGGTGATAGGGAGGAAGCCCAGGAAGCTTCTGGGGTGCTGGTAATGTGGTGGTGTCTGAGCTGGGTGCTGGCTTACAAGTATTCACTTTGGCAAACTTAATTAGGTTCTTATGATTTGTGCAGCTCTTTGTATGTGTCCTTTTTAAATGTATGAATTCTTTGTATGAATCCTTTTTAAATAAGGATTCACTTTTTAAAAAGTTCTCCATATTAGTGAAGTTATATTTATAATATATAAATTATATAAATGTGTATATATATATATATAAATGTGGGTAAATATATATAAATGTGGGTATATAAATACCCACATATGCACAAATATATATATATATACACATATATGTATACATAGTACATATACATAAGATTAGCTTACTTAAGTATGACCTCTCATTAATCTACCTTTCCTTTAGTGACTTTGCTGTTTATTTACTTATTTATGTGTGTGTATCCCAGGATCTAATTGGAGGACTTCCTAGTCTTCCATTCACTCTTAGTGGGTTGGACATTCACATTCAAGAAGTTACTGCAACAACTTTCAAAACACATATGTGGCTTAAATATGGATTTTCCTGTCCTTTCATGAGTATCTGATTCATATCTCAATGCAGTCTACATTTTAGTGACATAAAGGAAATAAGTCATTGGTCATAGACTAGTCTACATAGAAATCTTATTAACTTGATTGGTCAAACTGTAAATTTAAGTAAAATAAGCTAAAAATAACAGACATTCCTTTCTTTTCCAAATTTCCTTTCTTTTTCCAAAATTAAAATAACTTTTAGCCCCACTGAGTGCAGAACCTCAATTATTTAAATCTATTTCATAACCTAATTAACATTATCTCACCAGTATTTTCCACATTACATTGAAAATGTTATTAAAATGTCAAATTGCACAATAAGAAATATGTGTGTATGTATGATCTTTTCTCTGGTGCCAATTATTCAAAATTTCCTATAATATTTGCTTAAGTGGCTAATAAGCCTAATGATGTCATACTCACTGCATCCAAATTTTATTCTAATTAAAGCAGTTTTAAGAATTATTATTCTTAGTATTAAGAATAATCTCCCAAATAACTTTGATACTATTATTACCGCTAATAATAATAATAATAAGGATGCCCAAGTTAAGCAAAGATGTTATGGAGCCATCTGAGATGAAGAAAGCCAATAAATAAAACGGATAAAAAATCATTCCAGTAAAAATGGTCCAGAGCTCTTCATAAACCCAGCAGGAACTTTCCAGTGCGAAGGGACACCCTAGGAGACGCACAATCAGCTTGAAAGAGGTCTCCTGTTCCTGACCCCAGATCTCTCCTGGGAAAGGGAGCAAGTTGAGCCTTGTCCCCACCAACCCGCAGGCAGGTCGGGAGACCAGGAGGCGAGCAGCCTCCGCTGGCGTCCAGAGCACCGCTGTCGGCGTCCGGGGCCAGGAACTTACCACGAGCGCGCAGCACAGCAACTTGTTCATTGTGGTCCCCGGGAAACCTCAGGCGCTGGGAGGCGGCGGCTGCGGGGCGAGCGCTATGGTGCGTCTCGGCTGCCCGTGCACTCATCACTTTATATATAGTGTCCCGGCAACAGGAAGTATCGGCTTGCCTTTGATCATTCATTCCCTATCTGGACCAAACTTTGCACCTTTCTTTTTTAGGAACCTTGGGCGGGAAGAAAAAAAAAAAAAAAAAAAGCTGCAGAACAAGGCAGCTGCTGTCTCCGTGCGGCTCTGAGGTTTCCTGGCCCCTTCCCGCCAGCGGCCGGCCTCCTGGCAGCCGCGACCGGTGGTGGGAGGACCGGGCGCACGCTGGGCCGTCGCTGTGCCTGGCTCCTCCACCCTGAGCGTCGGGTCCAGCCGAGATCTCGGCGCAGCCTGCAGTGCGCCCCAGACACTACACCCCACTCTCGTCTGACCCTCTCAGGGGTTCTGAGATCCCCAACAACAAGTATTCTCATTCACGCGCTGCGCTCAGAGGCTTTTCTGGGAGTTTGCAGTCATTAATCTACAAGGCTGCACAGATGGAGAAGAAATTTCTCTAACTTATGTCTGGTTCGAAAGCCAATGCCTTTTCCCATTCACTTTTTGTTGCCTGGGGTAGTTCAGCCAGAGAGAATCAGCAGAGGACAAACTTCTTGCCCAGGGCAGAAAAAACACCATAGGATTCGCCGCTATACTGAACTGAACTGAACTGATAGTCTTTACAGTACCATCATCATCCAAAGGTTATTGGTACCTATTAAACTTATGAAATTGCCTCTTCCAGGTCTTTCCATTGCCCCCAAGCTTTTGGTGGAAGTTGGCTCTGCCTAAAAGGTTCTTCGCTCCCCCATCCACTCCCACCAGCTGCTTTTGTGAGAGTTGGACCCTATGGCTTCTAAAGTGTAGACCCCTTCTGAGGTCCTGCAGTTTGCTGATTTGTTCTTAGGTTGCCACCAGAACTCTTCACTTACAGAGGCTGGGGAAAAAAGATATATCACTGCAAAGCCAGCCTCCCCATCAGGGCCAGGT